GGCGCGGCAGCAGGAAGCCGGGCGGGGACTCGCGGAGGCGTTGGGGAGCGGGGGAGGGCGCGGCCAACTCCCGGAGGGACGGCAGGCCAAGAGAGCGGCGCCCGGGCCTGGCGCCCAGCCTGAGCCCGCCGGACTCCAGGCAGCCCCGCCGCGGGCTCGGCCCCGGCCCCAGTCCCGCGAGCATGGCCGGCCGGACCGTGCGAGCCGAGACCCGGAGCCGGGCCAAGGATGACATCAAGAAGGTGATGGCGACCATCGAGAAGGTCCGGAGATGGTGAGCGCTGCCCCTGGGCCAGGGACGCGGCAGAGCCACCTCCTCCAGGCGCGTCCCCCCTTCCCTAGCCAGCTGCCCCCACCCAGCAGCTGTGCTCCGGGTGGACAGGGCTCTGTTCCTCCATCCTTGGCAATTCCCAGAGGTCTACAAAGCGTGGTCCCGAGTCGTGCCCTCCCGGAGCGGGAGCCCTCATCTATGCCCCGCCCCCTGAAGCTTTGACACTCCTCCTGCAAGTGTGCCTCTTGATCTTCCTTGCTAGATAATCTCCAGCCAGGCCCTTTTTGATGCCGAGTAGAGTGCCCCTGGGGTTTGCAAGACCACAGCTCCAAGTCGTAGCCTCTCCCTAGGGGCACCTCCATCTACGCCCTGGGATTTGCAGGGCTCTTTCTGCTTCTATGCCGTATTAGCGAAATTATCCCTACCCTAGCTCATCTCCCCGACCTCTGCAGGTACCTCCAGCTCTGTGGGGATTACTCTTGGGCCTCCCTGACCCAGCCCCCTACCCTCCCACAGGGAGAAGCGCTGGGTGACTGTGGGTGACACTTCCCTTCGAATCTTCAAATGGGTGCCTGTGGTGGACCCCCAGGAGGAGGTGAGCATGCCCCACCCCCACCAGGCCCTGTATCTGTGCAACCTCAGGCAATCCCCTCCCCACCTTGGCCTTCAGTACTTTTGCTCTTGGAGACTACAGTGTGGAGCTCAGGCAGATGGTAACGTTTATTAGCACCTCCTTCCCCTTTGCCTTTTTCCTGCTCTAGATTCCCGTAGTTCAAGACCCAACGCAGCCACATAACCTCAGATAGCTCCTTTTGCTTCTCTGTGCCTCAGTTTCCTTATTTGTACAGAGGGACTTTGCAAGAGCTTCCTAGACAAATGGCTCAGACTTTATCCCTCTAACCCCCTCAGGAGAGACGGCGGGCAGGTGGCGGGGCAGAGAGATCTCGTGGACGGGAGAGGCGGGGCAGGGGCACCAGTCCCAGAGGGGGTGGCCCTCTCATCCTGCTGGATCTCAATGGTATGTAGAGATTCTGGAATTCAGTGATTGTGGGACCCGAAGGAGGCTACTTTGGGGCGGGTTGCTCAGGCCAAACATCTTGGCTCTTGCTTCCACAGATGAGAACAGCAATCAGAGTTTCCATTCTGAAGGTTCCTTGCAAAAGGGCACTGAGCCCAGTCCTGGGGGGACTCCCCAGCCCAGCCGCCCAGCGTCACCAACTGGACCCCTAGAAGGGATTACTGAGGAAACTCAGCCCCCACAACTTGGTCAAGAGAGAGGTAGGACCATGTGCCTGCCAGGAGCTCTTGCCTCTGTCTTATCTCTAAAATTAAACCCACCATCTTGTCCTTGTACCTGTGTCATGACCCCGCTCCCAGTGCTGCTTCCCAGGGAACCTTCCCTGACCCTGGCAGAAATTACTTCTAGCTACTGTCTCTCATTCCTCTGGCCTCTTAAATCTGTAGGTAACATGTCACCGTCTGAGATTTCCATGTAAATTTATTTCTTTGCTAGCTTACTGTCTCTTCCCCCCACTTCCACCTAAAATCAGCTTCCTGCATGTTGGGGCCATACTGGTTTTGTTCATTCTTGTAACATTCCTGTAACTGTGGGACCCATAATAGGTGTTCAGTGAATATTTGTAAGGGAATAACTTGCACTGATAATCATAGTAGTGAAGAATAGCAGTAGAGAGAATGGTACCTAATACTCACTGAGCCCCTTCTATGCCAGGCATTCTTCTAAGCACTTCACATTTTTTTCCTCATTCACTATATTCACTTTTTTCTCTTCACTATCACCTTATGGAAGTGATGATCCTATTATGATTCCTATTTATACATGAGGAGATGGAAATCTAGAGAAAGGTGCCCAGACTCACAGAGCTGGTGAGCCAACATCTTGGGCCTGAGCCCTCTTCGGCTCCTCTGTCTTCATAAAGTTGGTTCCCTTCTGACTTACCTGCCTTGGGCTCTGCCTTCTCACTACTCACTTGGACCTGCTCTAGCCTCCTCACTTGTCTTCTGTGGCTTCCACACAGCTGCAGAACAGCTTTTCTTAAGCACAAAACTGGATGGTCATTTTCCTGCTTCGTATCCTTCAGTGGCTCCCCATGGCCTTTGATTCCTTAGTTTGACTCTTGGGGCCTTTACAAACTGTTGCCTGCTGGCATTGTTTCCTGCCAAGAACGCTATGGCATGGGCTTTGGAATCATGTCTAGATTGTTACAAACATTTTTATTAATATAAAATGATAGGACTTAGATGAGCTTGGTGGCACACACCTTTAATCCCAGAACTTGGGAGGCAGAGGCAGGCTGGTGTCTGTGAGATTGAGGCCAGCCTGATCTACATAGAGAGTTCCAGGCCAGCTGGGGCTACAGAGAGACCTTGTCTCAAAAAAAAAAAAGAACTGGGGATATAGGTCTGTGGTCCAGTGTTTATCTATCATACTCCAGTTTCCTACTCCATATCTCTAGTACCACAAATGATAGCTAGCACTTACTGGGCACCTACTATGTGCAGATACTATGCTAAAGGCTTTACCCATATTACCTTTCTTAATATTCCCTTACTTAATCCTCAAGGCAGTATCTTGTGGTATTGCTGTCCCCCTTTTGCAGATGATTTCATTGAGGCTCTGAGAAATAGCTTCCTTAAGGTCAGGATTGAACTCAGAACAACACAGAATCCCTTCTGTCTAAATTCTGCCCTATGGGCTCACTCCCTACTCACAGTTCAAGATCCAACTTGAGTCTTCTTTCTTGTGCCCTGTTGTATGTGATTGGTACTTGCCTCTCTGTGGTAGAGTGGCTGCTCAGGGGATTTCTGTTCATTTGGCATTCCAGACCCTGGGGGAACACCTGCAGGCGGCACTGATGAACCCCCGAAGCTGACCAAGGAGGAGCCTGTGCCAGAATTGCTGGAAGCTGAGGTGAGAGAGGCCAGAGGCTGGACTCCCTGGCCTGGGCAGGAGTGGGACTCGGGCACAGGGAGCCTGCATTCCAGGAGGGAGACGTGGACCTAGAACCTAGTAAGAAGCTTAGTTGGATTCTTGAGACTGAAAAAAAGAAAGTGTTCTAGAAACAAAGTCCTGAGGGCTGGATCACAGCTCATTTAGGAGCATTAAAAGCCTGAAATGAGGGGACTGAGGAGATGGCTCAGTGGTTAAGAGTATGTACTGCTCTTGTAGAGAACCCAAGTTCTGTTCCCAGCACCCACGTCAGGCAGTTCACAACCACCTGTAACTCCACCTCCAGAGGATCTGCCTCCTCTGGGCTCTGTGGGGCACCTGCGCTCACATTTACATACCCACATGCAGGCACACACACATATAATTAAAAATAAAACTAAATCTGAATTTAAAAAATAGCCTGAAATGATCTCGGTGCTCCTTTGAGGACTCACTTGGAGTACAGATCAGTGGTACTGCGCACACTCAGCATGCATGAGACACCCCCCCTCCCCAGCATTGAAAGTCACATAGAATTCTGAACCATAAAATTAGTTTAAGAAATCACCTTGCCTTTTCTCACAAGGACTACTTTGATGCACTTTTAAGAAAAATCAAATTCTTTCCTCCAAACGGTGCTGTCATTGTTTTTGGTGCCCTAATCTACATTGTGGTCACTTGGTCCTGGGCCAGACTCTGGGTCCCCAGGGGAGTAGAGTGGAGAAGGCGGAGGCTAGGAGGCTGGACTCCTGGGTTAGAGTGGAGCTCACACCTGTCCGCCCTTCCTCTTCAGGCCCCTGAAGCTTACCCTGTCTTTGAGCCAGTGCCACCCGTCCCCGAGGCAGCCCAGGGTGACACAGAGGACTCGGAGGGCGCCCCCCCACTCAAGCGCATCTGCCCAAATGCCCCTGACCCCTGAGAAGTCGCCTGCCTCCTGTCCTGTTGCTCCAGGGGCCCCTTTGGCTTTTTATAAATAAAGACCCTTTTGTAATTTTGTGTCATGTCATTTCCCTGTCAAGGCTGGGGAGGGTCTTTGGAGACAATTTTGGCTCATGCTCTGTTCCTCAGATGGGGTCACTGAGGCTCTGAGATGACCTATATTCATACCAAGATTAGATGTGCAGTGAGGGCTTTAGCCAGGACCCCACCTCCCTTGTACTCCCACTGTGCCCTTCTCCCCTGACCTTTGACCCTTTCTTACCTTACCCAACTCTTCTGGGAATCCCAAGATTCAACTCTCCCCTAGGTCCAGCAGTTGTTAAAGTTCTGGGCAGTAAGGCCCATGGTTTACATTTCACTCACAGGAACATAGGACAGAGGGACAGAGAGGCCTTGAATGTCCAACCCCTTCCCTGCCCTCAGGAAGCAGAAGCATTTTGTCTCCAGCTGAACCATGCAGAATCCAGGCCCACACTTCTGGGCTGATCCCTCCTTGTCACCTCCTGTTAGACACAGTCCCTGATCCTAGACTTGATCAACATCATTCCCTTTGAAGTCTACAACCCCATGAGCTTCCTTCCCTTTGTCTCAGCATTTATCAGGCTGTTTGGGACCATCAGGTTGTATTTCTGTCTTGCCACAGGCACCTCAAGGGCAGAAATGGTCCCTGGCCTTACCTTGCTTAACATGGAGAATGGAGCAAGCCTAGCAACTGCCTCATGAATGAATGAATATGGGGCTGGGCATGGTGGCACACATTTGTAATCACAGTACTCAGGAGGCTGAGGCAGGAGAATTGTGGGTTCCAGGTGGTGTGGGCTACATAGTGAGACCTATCTCAAAAGAAAAACAGGAAAGAGTGAGTAGCCTGGGGTTATCCAGGAAAAGCTCTGAGGAGGTGGCATGTGAGATGGGCTCTGAGGTATGACTCCCAATATGGCAGATCTAAAATCTGGAGCCCTGGTTCAGGTCCTGGCTCTGTCACTCACATCTTACGGTTCTAGGCAGGCCATTTCTACTCTCTGAGCCTTTGTTCATTTGAGCAATGGGGACAATAGCCAGGCCTCACCTGCTCCAATGGTAGGTGGGAAACTTCAAACCACATAAGAACTCCTCAATCTGTGCTTTTAAGAGAAGCAGGGTCAGGTGTATTAGCTGCATTCTTATTTTTAACAAAAGGAGAGACTGAAGTTTAGAGAGGGCAAAAGTAGAACTATAGAAACGTTTAAAAATGTCAAAGTACTCCCTATGTGACAGGTGCCAGGGCTGGCCAGGACAGCCAGTGTAGGGATGTGATATATTTGTTCGTATTGCTGTCTAATAAATACCAAAAATCACTGGCTAGTGCTACCCAGATTCATTATGTAGTCATCCTGGAGGTCAGAAGCCCAAATTAGTGTCACAGTGCTAACCTCAAGGAGTCCCAGGACTGGCTCCTCCCGTCAGCTGCCAGGGAAAATCTACCATGTCTTTTCAGCTTCTAGAAGCTGCCTGCATTCAAGGCATACTTTCCAGCTTGTGGCCTTTCTCTCTTCAAATCCCGCATGCAGCTTCTCCTAACCTCTCTCTTTCTGTTTTCATTGTTACATCACCTGCTGCTTCTTGCATGGGCCCTGTGATCACACTGGCCCGCCTAGATATCCAGGCCCTTCCTCTATCTTGGAATTGAATCCATTTGAAAATTTCATTGCCATGTAAAGTGGAGCTTGGGATGTGATGTCTCTGGAGGGCTGTTGTTTAGTATGCCACACGTTGTAACCTCAGCAATTTTCTGGGTGCGTCATCCCATTACTGCCCCCAGTGAAGCTGTGGAGTAATATAAGTGCACTATAAACACTTTGTTGTGTCATCTGTGAAATGGGGGCTAATAGTAATGTGAACCTAGTGAGACTATTCTAAGGATTAAATGAGACAGTGCATGGAAAGAGCCCTTCATGTAGTGTGTATTAAGTGCTCGGTCAATGGCAGCCTTTTTACACATTGCCCCATATTACTCATGAAGATACTAAGGTGCGGAGAGAGGTACCAGAGACCCTCTTCTCAGCAAAACTGGGGAGGGTTCTGGCCCTGTATCAGGTATCCATTTCTGAGTAGCCTTAAGAGACTGGAGTTTGAATCTTCTCAGCTTCTGTCCCCCCCACTTCTGTCCCTCCTGTTCCAACCCACTTTGCTCCAGCTTTCTCTGGCCTACTCCCTGTCTCGATCTACAAGCCATCCCTTCCTTAGTCACATCCCGATGTCTCAACTGCTGTGCCCTCTCTTCTCTCCCCACATTCACATTCTTTCTTTCTGGAAATTCTACTTACATTTGGGGCTCTGCTGTCTTCCCTACCCTATGCCCATCCATGCTTCCTAAATGCTTGCTGCCCTATCCTGGCTTTTCTCTTCATGAACACTCTCCCTTGGGGACTGGCACCTACTCAAGGGAGTTAATGGTCCATACTTCCAGATTTTGCTCTGAGCCTCCAGACTCAAATAGCCAAATGGTGGCACATCCCCTGAGATGTCCCATGGACTTCAGGCTCATTTTCCTTCCAACTTATCCTTTCCATCTTCTGTGCTCATCATCCCCCCACCACCCCCATCCCCTTCCCTAGCCAGCATATCTTATGTCTCCATCCTATTACAATGCAGCCTGAGTTTCTGGTTCTCCTTCCATCTTCCTAACGCTGGGATTACAGGCATGCATCACCATGCTTGGTTTTATACAGTGCTGGGGGTGGAATCTGGGGCTTTGTGCATGCTAAGCAAGCACTCTACCAACTGAGCTACACCCCCAGTCCTACTCTACTTTTTTTCTTTTTGTAATTTTATTTATTTGTACTTTATGAGTACAAATGTTTTGCCTGCATGTATGTAAGTGCACCACATACATGCATTTTCCATGGTGGCCAGAAGAGGGCATAAGATCCCCTGGAACAGGAGTTACAGATGGTTGTTAGCCACCTAGCATCTGTAGGTGCTAGGAACTGAATTTAGGTCCTCTGCAAGAGCAGCCAGTGCTTTTAACCACTGGGCCATTTCTCCAGGCCTCTACATTTTTTAGGTGCCAAGAAAACTAGTTTCTTGCTTCCAACCCTGCCTGCTTCTACCCAAGCTTCTTTGCTCTGCAGTGCGCAGTTCTTCAGAAGCCTACATCTTTCCACAGTGCTGTGGTGCTGCTTATATGCAGGACAGAGCCCATGCTCTGCTGCCTTCACACCCCCACTACTCCCTCAGATGCACTGCACCAAGGTCTCATCTCTGAGGCCTCATTCAATGTATCTGCGTTGCCACAGCCCCTTCCTCTCCTCACCAGACAGGTTCCCCTTGTTTCCCAAACCTTGCTTCCCGGTGGTATCCTCTAGTCTCTCTCTCGGCTCCCCTCCCCTTGCTCTGAGTGTTGCCTTGCAATGGTCTGTGTCAGCTGGAGGACAGAGGAATTCTCTGAATCGATGATTTGTAGGTACTGTTTGCTGAGCTCTGCTCTGGGCCCTGGGGAAACGTAAAACATAAAAGAACCCCACCCTTCTGGAGTCCATCCTTGGGATATTGGGGCCACTGGTAGGAAGACAGAAGTACACTCCTAGTCCTTTAAGGAAGGGGATATGCCCTGAGAAATGCACCTTGGGCATTTTCATTGTTCTGTGACATTGGAGAGTGTCTGAACACAAACTAAGGTAACTATAATGTCCCTGGATGATATTATCTTATGGGGCACCATCTCTGCTGCCTGTTGTTGACCAAAACATTGTTGTGTGATTTGTGACTGTACTTTCAAACAGTCATGCAGAGTAAGAGAGGTGGGGAAAGAGCGTGTTGCAATTTTAGAGAGCTCAGAAGAGGCCTCACTGGGGAGAAGTTTGAAGAACAGTTTGAAGCGAGGCTACAGAGCCACATGAAGTTCTGGGTAAAGAGCATTTCAGGGAGAGGGAATAGCCAATGCAAAGGCCCTGAGCTAGAACATGCCTGGCAATAGGGTCAGTGTGGCCGGAGCTGGAGGGAGAAGAGAGCAGTGGGAATTGAGTTCAGATGGCAGAGCCTCCCAGGCAGGACAAGCACAG